TCACAGGCAGGTGGGATAATTATCTCATTTATAAGGAGCCTTGCTTTTCTGGCCGGAATTGGTAATAAGGAATATCCTCACAGTTGGAACCATGGCTGATTACATAAAGTTCAAGAACCTGAAACCTTATTTGGTCTGACCCCTTTTCTTGCAGATGGGCACCCTGAGGCCACAGAGGCTGTGACAGGCTCCCCACATGAGTTCAGAGCCAACCCATGGCTCTTTACATTCCAGCAGGACACATCCAATCTGCCCCTTGGATGTCCATGGACCAATACACAGAAGGCTTCACTGACTTGAATCCATGCATACACTTAGAGGAACTTCCACATCCAAAGGATGCAGAAAACAAACGTCTGTGATTGTCTTCAGCTGATAATACCTGGCTCAAGGCCACAGGGGATGGAGAAGAGAAGGGAGAAGAAGGGGAAGAGGCCACAGGGTGTGGTGTGATAAAGAAAGAGAACAAAGGAAGAAATGAGGATGGCAAGGTATGAAAGGAAAGGAAGCAGGGAGAGGCAAGCAGGGCCTCAAATCTTGGTCCAGAGCAGAGAATAACAAGATCGGGGGTGACGGAGGGCAGTAAGAGCTAAGGAAAAGACAGAAAGTCAAGGAGAGAACTGGTCTGAACTTGAATTGTCACAAAGAATCAATTTGAAGGGTCAAAGAAGCCACACCAGAATCCTTCTGCTGAGAAGCCCAAAGAAGGGTGTGTGTGTGCAAATGTATTGCTTTGAGATCCTACCCCAGTATGTTTTATCACAAGGGGTATAGACTTCCCTGGTTAACAAGACCCCCCTCACCCCCCCAGCCCCTCCCCACCCCCGTGAAAATCCCTACTCCCTGGGGCATTTCCCCTTGCAGAGCCTGCTTGCCACTTACTACAGGGAGGATGGGAGATACTCACCAGGGGCCAATAGGGCCGCACAAAGCTCATATTATTCTTACTTTAATCAGGGTTTTTGCTACACAAACCCTGCTTTGAAACCATACACGGTGCTGCATTTTTACACTGGCATTTGGGGGGTTTATGGCTTTGTAAGAGATTGTATTTTTTTATTTCCTAAAGATATCACTGAATTTCCCATTTTTCCTCCTCAAAATAATTATCAACAAACATGTGCAGTGATGGCACCACCCAATAAATTAAACCAAGCCCTCTGCTTTGGCATTCACTTATTCCTTTATGAAAGAGTGTGTGTGTATGAGAGAGAGAGAGAGAAAGGCAGAGAGAGAGGAGTGAGGGAGGGAGAATGGAAAGGGAAGAGGAGAAAAGAGGAGGGGAGGGAAGTGCATCTTTTTAAAAAGTCAGAAAACCAAACTCTCACACGATTTAATGAAGATTTTTCAGGAAACTGAATTCTCACATTATTTATAAAGGTTTTTCCCCTGTGTAAGGATTGAAGGCTGAATTATGCCAAGGTGTGACAATTAGAAAAAAATCTGAGTCAGGGGAAATTTTCCTTAGTCTGATTTTATGCTTTCAATACGTGCTTATGTTCTAAGACCTGCACTTAGATGGGGATTTGAGATATTAGAGAATAAGATAAGAAGCCAAAAGACACATTTTTCTCTAAGTCATACAAACGATGTTTCTTTCCTTTTACTCTCAAAGCTATCCCAGTGACATTCAGCGAGGACTTACGAAATAAAGGCTACCACCTGGTTGCTCTGTAGTCTCTTTGATGGCTGGAAGAGAGAAGGGTCCACCTCAAAGACTCTTCATGGCCCTAAACCACCTTTACCCTCTCCAAATCCCTCCCATCTCCCACCCTGACCAGGGCAAAAGCCACCCCCAAATATTTTCTCTATTATCTATCTTGCCTTTTGTGTCCATCGCCATGCAAAAGTCAGAGCGATCTTTTATATTATGCATCAGACCATGTCACTCCTTGCTCAAAACCCTCCAGAGCCGCTGCTCACACTGGGACACCACCCACACTGGCCCGTGACCTGGCTAGCCTCATCTCCTCCCATGTTCACTCCCTCTTTCCCACTAAGTAAGGTCACAAGGCCTTTTTTGGATTTCTGTTCCTTCAGCAATCCTACCTTGTTCTCACCCTAGAGCAGGACCCTTCAATTATCTTGGAGACTCTTCTTGTGACAAAAATGACTGGAAAAATGACAGACCAGCCCAAGGTCTCAACCTATAGGACAAGGTTGAAATAGTCCAAGAAGCAGGTTCAATGGAACAGAGAAAAGAAAAACTATGAAGTCATTTTCAAGTTCAGTTCATTTAAAGTATCAATAATTGCATTTGCTGTTTATATCTCCCCTTCCCTAGAATGGATACTTAGGGGAACAGCAACCTCTTCTGTCTTCTATTCTCATCACCTACAACTATGCCAAGGACTTAGTGGACATTCCCATAAATAGTTGTTGAAAGAATGAATACGCGGAAGAAAAATAATAGGACACTCACACATTACAATTTTAAATACCAATACACAGCAATTCAGTGATTAGATGTAATTATGAGAGGTAAAAATCCTAAATTGGAAGCAAAATTCCTGCTTGCTTAAAAGATGCAGTAACAAAAATGGTGGCATCATCAAACCAACATGAATCTACCAATAAAAGCCCAGCTTCCTGCAAGTCTTCCGGCTGTGGTCTTTTGCATACTCTAATTGATCATTCAGTTACTGCAGTAGTGTCCACAGCACGCAGACCACTGGTTTTACTTGGACTACTCCTTCCCCATGGTGTTAGCACAGTTCCCTTTCTCCTTCCACAATGAATCTTAGGTGGATGGCTGTGGCAGTCCCTGATCATTGGCTAATTAACTTGCTTTCTTCCCACCCTCCTTGTTTTGGGAGTTATGATTATTTTCGGGCAGCAATATGCCCAGCCCCAAGTGAGATACTCATTTGTCCAGCTTCTTCAGAAATTCAACGTGGCTGTGTCACGCAGTCCTGGCTCAGGAGATGAAAGCAAGCATTTATTAGGAGCCTCTGGGACAGGTTTGCTCCTCTTGATGTGAAGGGGCAGGTGCCAATGGCACAGCCCCTCTCTTTCTGTCATGTGCAGGGAGGAGACGGTATAATGATGCAGTGGCCATTAATAACCACCAGCAAATAGGCATAAGGGTACAGCAGAAAGATGAAAAGAGTTTGAGTCCCTGGTGACATCCCTGAGCTGCCAAATCCACACCAGAAACTGCCTACATCTAGTCTTCTTGATAACTGAGGTCAAGAAGCACCTATTCGTTCAAATCAAGAAAATTAGGTCATAGAATACTTGTAGCCCAGATCATTACTAGCTGATACAATGACCATATTATGTGAGAGCAGAGAAGTGGTCCTGTAAGTAGAAATAGCATCCTGGATCAATAGGAGTGAAAGGCCCTTGAGAGATCCCTGCTTCCAGGAAAAAGTATCCCTAAATAATCTCTACTACTAGTCCCTATCCCTAGGCTTTCATATGTAGACATGCGTGCTGAATCTTTGGCCTCTGCAGCCTCACTGTTTCCCACTGGCCAATTTCCTCAGCTGTTCCACATCCGCCCTTTATCATTTTCCACCCATTAATCACTTGCACTGTCCAGGTTTACAATTTTCCAAACTCTGCCCATTTCAATTAGATGCCAGGGTCTCAGACATAACCCGGCAGCCTCGACCTGCGTGGGCCTAACGTCGGAGGCGGCTGGATTCCTGCAGGCTCTATTTCCATGTGTGCCTTCTCCAGTACAGAGCTAGATAATTTCACTCATCTAGAAAATTAAGGTGAATAAGAGAAGAAAAAACTGGAATGCCATATGGTCTAGCTTCCTGAATTTGTGTGATTATCCATTATCAAATCGCAGGCACTGAGTTATTAAGTCTATTGACAGATGCAATGTAATTTTCTTCAAACAGATAACTGATCCAGGAGCTGATAAGGTCTGAATGTGCACTGCACACTCCCCCATATTTTGATCATTCTTCACTTTCTTCATTCATGGCTCTGTAATCAAATTACCAGTTCAAATACATACATAGAAGGAAAACAACATGCCTTACATTTATACTCAGGACTCTCATTTAGTGACTTAAAATTTTCTGAGTCTGAGCAGCATTCCTATATAGGAAAAGAAATAAAAATAAGTAGGAAAAATTACAATGCAGCATGTGTAAAATCTGAGTCTGGAAGATGTTTGAAATAAATTGTGTGGAAATAGGTGAGCTCCGGCTCTAAGCTTAGACAATCTTAAGGATTTCGAAGTTGAGAAACAACACTGTTCGGATACTGCCATATGTGTGAAGGACTTGCCTTTTCCTTTTATAACTCTTGGCAAGGATAGTCTCATGCAGGTAATAAATCAACACTGAACTCCAGCTCAAATTACAAAAGCAAAATAAAATTATTGGGATAATACCTTATACAAACTGACTGGAGAGGACACTTTGTAAATGTTTTAAAATTACCCATCTGAGTACACATACTTAGCACTCAAAAGCATAATGAAATGGCACAACTGCTTCTCAGTATTTGGGAATACTTCTCCCTACTTGTAAAACAAGTAAGCAAATATCCTACTCGCCCCACAATTTAGCCCCAGGCCCTGATTTAAAACTATTCTATTTTTCTCTAATTTTTTTCTCCCCACTAAGATGATTTATCAATGCTCTGGTTTCCAAAGAGTTAACAACAACAAAAAGAGCATCTGGATGTCTGCTTTTAGGTGGGCAAATATAATATACATGTGATTATTAAAAAATACAGACACCAGATTATATGACCCCTTTGGGAGGGAACATATGAATTCGTAGCCTAGTCACTCTTTCTTGGTGAAGAAAGATATGAGTGAGACCCTGTACCTTCACGCAGAGACAGGAAAAAATGACTAAGGTTGAGTTCTTATTGGAAACCAAAATATTTTAGAAATTCAGACATGCTGCCATTTGCTTGACAGTAAGACACTGTGCACTGAACTTTAAAGTAAATCACTGATTATATCTGATTATAAGAATATAATCAAAGGTAAGATTGCATAAGAATTTTATTTAGTAAATGTACTAACCATGATCCTTGGGTCACTGGATATTCAGTTTTTACTGCACCTTCAAGAGACATTCTCCAGGTATCTTTTTCATGGTTACTTTACTAGAAGCCTATGTTATTTCTTGTAAGATTTAATCTAGTTAAGAGTTTCTGTTTTGTAAACCTACTAGGAAGACGTTCTATTTCTTCTGGGCTGGTCATTTTCAAAGACTAAAGGCATTTTTCAGGCGGCTAGTTTTTTTCTAATGAATTGAGTCTGGTTATTCTATATGAATGCAGCTCCACAACGAATGTCAGTTGAACTTTTTTGTGAAATGTTTTTAGTGTAACAGAGTTCTGGATGATTTCATTTGCTTCAGAATTTCTCTTGCTTCTGGAAGGGCCACATTCAAATGTGAGTGACAGAGTTCAGGAGAAGAAAAAAATATTAATTACCCAGAGTTGCCTGAATCATATTAATAACAACTATGCTGAATGAGTGGGCCACTGGTGTAGGCATCCAGGGGGCATCGATATTTATTATGAAGATGTGTGTATTGATTAAGCTGTAAAATGATTCAAAGTAATATATGCCATCCTAATAATTGAACTCCATTCAAAAGAACACCATTGTAGCCACAACAAAAATTGAAAACAATGATTTTTTTTTTAGTGTTGATAATCACACTTTAATTCCAAAGTCAACATAAAAATTCAATACATGTAGTTAAGTTGAAAAGTGTTAGTGAAATAGGAGCTTAGCTTCACTTTTCCAAACATGTTTCCAAAAGACTTTCGTGGTGGGGAAGATCACACTGACTGCTGACAATGGTCACCTCCTCGACAGCAATTATGTGACCAAACTTTAACTAGTTGATGATTATTAAAGTTTTGCAGTGGCTACTTTTCCTACTGGTGTTCTACCACCAAGCATTTCTTCTAATTTGGTTATGGTAGGTTCATTCACATCAAATATATAGTCATTATTTACTTCCTGGGAATGAAAATGGTGGGTGAGCTGCTACGAATGTCGGGTGCCTTTTTCATGCGGCGTACCTTTGGTGGCAATAAACTCTACTGGGCTGTATTCTCTGAATATGTAAAAACTATGTTAAGGAATGGTTATGCTCCTGTTGAATTTTTCCTTGAAGGGACAAGAAGCCGCTCTGCCAAGACATTGACTCCTAAATTTGGTCTTCTGAATATTGTGATGGAGCCATTTTTTAAAAGAGAAGTTTTTGATACCTACTTTGTTCCAATTAGTATCAGTTATGATAAGATATTGGAAGAAACTCTTTATGTGTATGAGCTTCTAGGGATTCCTAAGCCAAAAGAATCTACAAGTGGGCTGTTGAAAGCTAGAAAGATTCTCTCTGAAAATTTTGGAAGCATCTATGTATACTTTGGAGACCCCGTGTCACTTCGATCTCTGGCAGCTGGCAGGATGAGTCGGAGCCCGTATAACTTGGTTCCAAGATACATTCCTCAGAAACAATCTGCGGACATTCATGCCTTTGTCACTGAGGTTGCCTACAAAATGCAGCTTCTGCAAATTGAGAACCTGGTTCTAAGCCCCTGGACCCTAATAGTTGCTGTTCTACTTCAGAACCGGCCATCCATGGACTTTGATGCTCTGGTTGAAAAGACTTTATGGCTGAAAGGCTTAACCCAGGTGTTCGGAGGGTTTCTCAGTTGGCCCGATAACACACCTGCTGAAGAAGTTGTCCAGTCCAACATTCTTCTGCATTCCAACATTGCCAGCATTGTCAGAGACCAGGTGATTCTGAGAGTGGACTCCGGAGACTCAGAAGTGGTTGATGGACTTATTTTCCAGCACATCACTCTCCTCATGTGCTCAGCCTATAGGAACCAGCTGCTCAACATTTTTGTCCGTCCTTCCTTAGTAGCTGTAGCATTGCAGATGACACCTCGGTTCAGGAAAGAGGATGTCTACAGTTGCTTTCATTTCCTACGCGATGTTTTTTCAGATGAGTTCATCTTCCTTCCAGGAAACACACTAAAGGACTTTGAAGAAGGCTGTTACCTGCTTTGTAAATGTGAGGCCATACAAGTGACTACGAAGGACATCCTAATTACAGAGAAAAGAAATACTGTGTTAGAATTTTTAACAGGACTCTTTAAGCCTTTTGTGGAATGTTATCAGATAGTTTGCAAATACCTCTTGAGTGAAGAAGAGGCCGCTTCAGTGAGAAACAGTACTTGGTTGCAGTCAGAAAATTTACAAGCCAACTTCTTGATCAAGGTGCCTCTCAGTGTTATGATGTATTATCTTCTGATGTGCAGAAAAATGCCTTAGCAGCTTTTGTGAGGCTTGGTGTGGTGGAGAAAACAATGATTTTGATTTATTCGATTATGCTATGCAGCCACAAGAAAAAAAGTTAATGTAAGTCTATGTCATCCTGTCTTATTGTTAGTAAGAAGGAACAGAAGCATGACTAAGGGGTACTTGGTTTTAAGAGTTTGGCCCAACATTACTTCAAGAACAAGTGCTCTTTTGAAATGAGTGTTTGGTGGCCCTGAGACAGAAAACCATTAGGCCACACCTTCCCCTTGAATGGCATGTCCCCTTGTCATATCACTTCTCCCTTTCATAAAACCTTCCCTGGTCCCTCCAAACATTTGCTTCTCTCATCTTTGAACTCCTATGTCTGTAGGTGGATATTGGCATAAGGAGAGATAACAAGTATGAAATCCATATTTAAGGAAACTTAACCAGGCCTACCATTCAAAGTCCTCAACAAACCAGAATCTCTCTCTACATTCCACTTCAACAAAAGTCAGTTCACATACACTTAACAACAACATATTCGAAGAGGACTCAGGGTCCTTTTGCTTGTTTTTAAAGGACTTGGGGGGTCTGTACTGAGGTCAGTAAACTCATCTCAACTTTTTCAACTCTCTATATCTTTATAGTGCAATTTCATATTCAGATGGAGAACCCTGTGATGTTATGAAGATACCTATTATTAAAGAAACATATAATTATCTTCATAATGTCATAATTACAAAGACATGAAAGTAAACAGAATATGTTTTAAACATAGATTTAAAAAAATGTTATGCAACTACGAACCAAAAATATTAATTCTTCAGCATACCCCTGCCTCTTTGATAATTCGATTAATTGGGGTGTACTGGTTTGGCACTCCCCTGCAAAGACAAGTCCACCAGCAACTGTGAATGTGGCCTTATTTGGAAACGGGGATCTTTGCAGATGTAATATAGTTAAGGATCTTGAGATATGGTCATCCTGGATTATCCAGGTGGACCTTAAATATAGTGACAAGTGTCTATATAAAGAAGAGGAGAAGACACAGAGGAAAAAGCTTTGGGAAGATGAAAATGGGGGTTGGATATAGACAGCCACAAGCTAAGGAGTGCCTGGAGCCACCAAAAGTTGGAAGAGGCAGGGAAGGATTCTCCTGTGAAGACTTCAGAGGGAGTGTGGCCCTGCCAATACCTGGAGTTTGGATTTCTCCCCTCTAGACCTGTGAGAAAATAAATTTCTGTTGTTTTAAGCCACTGAGTTTGTGCTTATTTGCTAGGGCAGCCCTAGGAAACTAATACATGGGGTTTTACTATATTTGATTAAATGCTACTCGATAAATACAAATAAAGTATAATTAAAGATGAAGACTACAATAATTCATTCAACAAACACTTATTAAGTGCTACTGTGTGCCAGGAACTATGTAGGACTCTGGCCATACAGCAAAAATTTAAAAAGATATTACACTGTAAGAGCCTCATTGATCTTACAGTGAAATCTGAAAAAGTGTTGTTGTTTTTCTCAGTCTTTATAGAGCAAGAGAAAGACATATCAGAAAATTTAAAGAGGAATCTATGAGCTGGAGTGAAGGAGTGGGATTCTTTTGATATAAAAGTTATGAAGGCAACATTAATGTATTGTTACCAAAGAACTACAAAAAGGTTTAGGGACATGTAATTCAAACTCAGAATTTATCAGTGCCCAAAGAATGCAAATGTTTTCTACATCACCTATTAATTCAAAGAGCAGCATGTGCAAGCCCCAAGATCCAGATCTGAACTTTTCTCCAGGTAAATATGCTGATTTAAAAGATCTTTTTCTCTAGTGTATTCAAAGAAATTAGAAAGTAATAGTGGCTTCCAGTCCTTTGTTGTTTTCTGCATTTTCCAGATGATATTTCACATTATTATGTGTCATCCCATATTGTATCAATCACATTACAATATGTCACCTAATGTAACATAAAGCAATATGATTGACACCATCTACTAGGGCTTGTCACAACATTGCATGTCAACCAGGACAGTTTTATGGGTTTTGTAAAGAATAAAAAAAGTCAACATATTTCATAGAACATCATATCCAAGGTGCAGTGGGGAAGGGAGCCGGGATCCTTTGAAGATTTTTGCATTCCTCTTGAGGGAACTGATAAACATCTGCTAAGTAAATGGAGTCAAATGTGTTCCCTATCCCCACATCGAGTGGACTCGATAAACTATCACCAGCCTGTGTCAGGTCCATGGTGAACTCCTATTGTTCCATGTTCCTGCTTGCCACACTTAACCCAAGACACCTTATAAGATCACGTTTAAATGAAGGAACAGAATTATCAGATGGAAGACCCACGTCGGAGTCAAAGGAGGCACTAAAGGCAGGCAGATCTCAGAGGTAGATTGAGAATGTTCTAGAAGCTATTATTGGTACAAATCCAGTTTTATGTAACAGGTCAAAACAATTTAAACAAAAATGGAGACTTATTTTAAGACCATGAAGAATTTCCAGAGAACTGAAGGCAGGAATGGAACAAGACCTGAGGAAAAGACTAGAAACAATAATTAGAAACCCATCAGCAATTTCTCCTCATCTCTGTCTCTGCTTCTCTGTCCCACGTGCTCTCTTCTTCGCTCTCTACTGCTACCCCATATATTTTCTAGGATTCACCCCATGACAATCAACAAGTCAGAATCCTAAAGATGTGGACAAGTTAGTTGGTCTTTGTTGATTTCCTCTGTGGGATGTATTTCCCCTTTCCTAACAGAACTCCAGTTCCTCAGCCATGCAGTGTGTGGGGGTGGACCTCAGCCCTAGCTCCAGAGGAAAACTCAGATTGGCTTCAGTCACCCAGAGGATCCATTACCCTGGTCAGCGATCAATTCAGGAAGTGCTCTGAGCCTGCATAGGCCCAGTGAGAGTGAATCTGGGAAAGCTTGTCTAGAATGCTGAGACACAGACTCACTCTTCTCCCCCAGGCCTTATCCGAGTGAGAAAGTGAGCTTGGGACTGCTGTAGTCTTTTTTAATACCATGAGTGAAGCCAGCTTGTGGGGTTAGCCAACTCAGAGGAAGGGAAGCCAAGACTTGGATCCTAGTGACGTCATTTGAGTTCTCAGTCATGTCACTCCTGTAGCCCAGATCTCTCCTAGAACAGTTTGTGTACATGAGTCAACAAAATCCCTTTATGCTTAAGCCAGTATGAGTCAAGTTTTCTATTCTTTACAACCAAAGGAACACCAACTTATATAAGATACTGACTTATTATCTTGCAGGTATTGAGAAAATCTCTAGCCAATCTAGCTTGAGCCAGTTAAACTAATCAGTTATGACAAGGCTGCAAAGCCCATGGACTGGGTGGGAGAGCATTTCTCAGAAAAGGGAGTGGTGGCATTTTGAATAACATCTATTATCAGTTAAGATACCCATTTGCTGGATGAGTCTGGATAAATTCCCCCCTGTGCTTTGGTTCTTTTCATTTTTAAGTTGGTTGGTCACATTTCTGCACCTAAACCCCTTCCTGGTACTCTGATGGAAGATTAAGTTGATATTCACTTTAAATAGGGTTTCATACATTTCACAGATAGGTTCTAATAAAAAATATTTTGCATTCGAATGGCTTTTTACATTTCTGCAATTCTTTTCCTCCTTTTCCTCTGCTGTTGCTGTTTGTGCATACAGAAATGAAGGAAGTATTTTTAGACTCTTGCATTTTATGATTCCACTCCTGCACTCCAGGTTTATATGAAGTCTTGCCTTTGAGAGCATCCCTTTCCAGGGCAGTTGTGGAGCTCATCCACTGCTGCTGAAGCTGCAAGTGGCTCAGCTTTTCTGGCCTTTCTGGATGAATCTTGGGTGTGTCGTAAACAGCAGGCTGAAAGCTGCTCATACACTCTATTGAAGGAGTTCCTCTTGGAATTTAACACAGAGAAAAAACCAGAGATGTGCAAAGAGAGTTATGCATAGAGTTTGTTGTTATTCAAATTTTTTGCTTTTAAAAGTAATTATTATAATTAGAAAACAATCAAATGATAAAAATATTAACCCTGATAAAGTCTGATTTATATTCATGTGACAGGATTCTATGAAACAATTAAAAATCTTGTTTTTACAGACTATTTTAAGAAATGGAAAAATGCTTGTGAAATACTATAAAGTGAAAGAAGCAAGTGTCAAAGTATATATGCAAGACAGTCATAAATACCACACTAATGCACACTGCAAACTAGAAGGAAATGAGTGTTGTGTGGTTAACTTGAGAGTCTCAAGAAAGTAGGGTCATAAATAGGTTTTATTTTCTTTTTATACACTTTTTTTGCCTTTTACAAATTTGTCCATAGTGAGTAAATATCACTTTTATAATTAGGAATGAAAAAAGGTTATTAAGAACTCATTTCATTTGTGTAGATGTGGAATATGTTTTGTTCTCTAAATTTTAGTTTTAGAGACAGTAAAAGCATGTTGACATGAAATAGTTTTGGGACAATGCAAGTGTGCCATATCTAAATCATACTGAAGAAACTACAATAAAACAGCTTTTAAGAATAAGAATAAAAATAGGCATTATCCACTTATATACAAAAGGGTATTTTTGTCCATTATATTTCCTAGTTGAAGAATTTTGTTTCTACTGGAAGAACAAACTGTTCACTTTAATTTCTACCTTTGAAACTCCTCCAAATCAAAGGTCACAGCGACTTCCTTTCTGCATCATCGTATTATAGTAGCTGTATGATTTATAACTCCGATTACACTTTTGTCTCCTAAAATATGCTAAAGTGAGTGAGGTCAGAGATTCTGCTTTCACTCAGTTTCCTTGTTTTTGTGGCTCAAATTCAAATTATTCGTATTACTTTAATGCAGTCTTGTTTAGCTTAATTGTACACTGAAAGTCTGGCACACATAATTAATCAATGTATTGCAAGTGACTGTTGAACAGCCCGTATCTGTTGGAAATTTTATTGTAAAATGCCGGATGCAAAGGGAAGGAAGACGGAACTGATGAGAGAGAAAAACCATGCCGGCTTTTCCTCAGACGAGTGTTATCAAAGTGGTCATGTGTGTTAAGAGAAATCAATTTCATTTTACAGATTTGTCGTCACTTCTGACAAATCCGAAATATA